GCGTGCTTCATATTCCTATTGTGCACGCTCATGACGTTAGCAAACAAATCCCTCGAGAATTTTGTACTCAATCAGAAAATAAAGTTCATTTACACGCATGAATTCACCTGTCAGTTTTTTGACCAATCTAAGACAAGATCGCTTACAGCGTAGCGAAATGTTTTCCTGAAACAAAATTATCAACGCGCTGAAGCGTAGCAGAGGGAATTTTAACCCTTTTACAACATTTAAACCATCGGATTGAAAATGTTATAAAACAATTGGTTCATGCGTCAGCTGTTCTCAAGAAGCTAGAGTTGCTCTCGGCTACGCCTCGAGCAACTCTTACGCATCTTTCGTGCTCTCCAAACTAACCACGTGCTTCATATCTCGATGAACGCACGCTGATGTCTGAACCAATTGTTAAAGAGATGATTGAGGAGATAAAAAAAGAAGTCAATCTCAGAATAATTATATATAATAATAATAATTATATAAAATAGTAGAATCATATAGTCAGTAATATCTGTAATTGACAATAATATTTGAGGCATATTACATAATGCATTTGATTTTCATAAAGATAATTTACAACAAATTTGGATAATTTCTCCTTTTCCTCTCAATTGCCCTTTAAGGGTAAAGGGGGATTTGAAGTTTTGAATTTATTAGCTCCTTCCGTCTGTTGTTATCTTCCAGTTGTTGCATGTTTACTTGGGACGTAGCCATTGCAACAAACTCTGTAAGAAAGTAATAGAAATACGTAGTTGGTGATAATGTATCAACAACCATATTTGTGGGATATTACATAGTTCAATATAATTACAAGGATAATTTCCAAAGAAAAAAAATTTTATGTAAATTATAATCTTTTAAGTGGATCAATATCAGTATCTGGACCAAAGGCGCTATGTAACAGAGCCATTTAATTTTACGATAAAACAGCTTATGTAAAACAGTACCAGTAAACAACCCTTATTAATTAACGTCATATATGCACAAGTTCTGTCTTTAGAATAGTAACAAAGTTAGTAATTTATAATGTAAATTCGTCTACTTACATGAAACTTCAGCAGGGTGGCACTTGGGCTAAAGCCGTGACATCCACTGAAAAAAAAATACAATTAAGTTGTCGGTGAAATTATCAGCAAACACCTTTTCGCAAATCTTGTTACTTAATACTGAACGGCTGATTAGTACAGACTATATGTTTAAACATAATTTGTACTGACGAAAAATGCTTTAATTTGTTACTAATTAAAATGCCAGCAATTACATTGTTTATTGCAATGTTTGGAGTTTTGTTTTTTTTTCTGTGCCCATGTCTAATGGCTGCATCAAGTTTTCTTGTATTTTGACTTGCATTTACACTGAAAATTAACAGCGACTATTTTGAAAATAGTCACTGTTAATTTTTTTTAACTCCCATGAGTGACCAACACAGAATTCCTCCTTCAAATATCAAAGTCAAGGAGACATGATTAAGGAGATTAGAGAAAACCAATTACAGGATTAACTGGTCGATCGAATACGAAATGAACGCACTCAGTAAATGGTGACCGCAACCTCCTAATATAGGTGATAAGGACAATAATTCCAATTTCGGAACTTTGACAACCGACCGATTATACAGGGTGACCGCTTAATACAGTGTTGCTAAATGCAGGTTCGACTGTACCACGGAATGAACTATTTGTAGGTTTTCGAGTAACTAAAAATGAACACACGCGCGTAAGTCAATTTCACAAATATGAAACGCACTCCATTTTTTCTCCTTCGTGAAAGTGTTCCAGTCACCGGTGGATCCAGCCACAAATGTTGAGGAGGAACAATCAAATCAAATCAGTTAATGCACTTTGATTAGTGTCAAGGCCCCGTGTTTGACGTGTTTCACATTAGATTGCAAACAATCAAAACAGTTTACAAGTGTTGGGTTTGCGCTTAAACTCACCTTTCTTTTCGTTCAACGATTCATAGTATAAACTCAGAAAGGAAGTTTTAAATTGTAAATTTACGTGTTATAGGAAAAAAGAAGGTCGACTGAAAGAACGAATGTAAATTCCGAAGTGTTTCGGTCTCACTTCGTGACATCGCTCCGAAAGGTTCCGATAAGTTACTCACGAAGTATAGTGGCAGGGAGAGGTTGGTGTTTGAGTATCCTGCATCCTCTTCACCAAAGGCGTAACCGTCCCGTATTCCATTCATTGCTGTGGTTTGTAGCTCTATAATTCCAATTAATTTCAATATTTCCTACCCCGTTGAATTTTCCTTCAATTATCTTGTATCTTCATAACTTTTCCCTATATATCCTGTATTTCGATAACTCCCTGTAGAGGTCTCTCCATAGCATAGTGCGTTACTGGTTTTTAAATGCAGAATAATTCATAAAACGAATTCAATGAATTCATTACTATGGAAGACAAAGCTAGAAAGAGTTGTTTAATCATTAAAAGTAACTTCGAAAGTACTCGAATCGTTTCGGTATACCATCTGCGTTCGCGCTTTGGATGAAGTCCCTTGTCTCCTAACTGTATTGCACCGTATGATAACGTAGTGCGTTGCCGCCTACAAACCGGTAATCACAAAACACAAGATAATTCCATCATAAAAGGAAGCCCAAGTGAGGGGTAATGTGGCTTCCTGTTTATCCTATGACTCGTGCGGTGTTCTGAAATTTCCTCCCCATCCGTTAATTGGTCTCGTCACACGAGCTGGTGGGGAAGAGAGAGTGCATTATGTGACTGACTTGTGCGGTACCGAAATTCCTCTGTAAATATTTATTAAGTCACTTGTAGACGACTGAGATTACACTCGTTACATTGTTAAAACTTATCATTACAATAGGTTAACCATATTTTTACTGACTTTTCATTACCATCAAAATCCCTACTTATCATCACAGTAGAAAAACAACAACAATTTGCTTTGTAACTTTAAATTACCTTTAAACAGATCATAGATCTTAAAATCGCTATCAAATTGTTCCCTGTTAAGTATAATCGTAAATCAAAGATACAGGTATCCTAACCCGTACGAATTCAATAATTGTGCACCAACAAACTTAACGAGTTCAGCAAGGACAGGAAATCATAAAATTTCAACAATCGCTGCTTTATCTTACTAAGCCTGTTAAACTCTGGATGAAGATCATTAATGGCATACTAATGCTTAAGCTGCCACAAAAACCTCTCTTCATTCAATAAGGAAAACGTATTGTTCAAAAGTGCGTTGCTACAGAGTAATTTTCCAACAAAAGGGTTAACCAACTAAACTGGTCAGTGAAAAGGGATCGCGGATAAAATCAAATAACTCAATTGAAAGCCACATTTAAAACAAAAACATGGCATTTTAAAATGGTGGAAAATGTATTATTCTTTCTAGCCATGTTAAGTGGCAGAGAACTTAACATAAATAGGAAAGAGTAATACAAATTTCGCTATTTTGAAACGTTTCTAATGACCTCGTGAAAAAGATCATGTCAATTTACAAATTTCCTATCTATGGATTTCTCCCTCTTCTATTTCAACATTTCTAATAAATTTAAGTTACGCCACCCTATGATAACATAGCCTTCAAGTCTCTATACCATCTATAACCAGGGCGTTGCGTTTAAGCACCAGTATACATAACTTGACTATGATATAAATAATAATACAAAGAGAAAATTAAAGCTAAAATATTCACAATGTCGCCAGCTTAATGACAAGTATTCAAATATTTTGAAAAACAGTTACATTCAGCGTTCTGTAACCATCTCACTATTTGTTGTTATGAGGCCGCTTTAATGTTTTTTCTTTTTACCGTTGTTTTCTCCTTTTTTTTTAATTTTTTTATTTAATCGTTTTAGTTTTTTTTTTTAACTACAAGAGCTTTTAGGCACTTTGCAAGTAAAACTCAACAAAGAGGTAATAGTTTATATCTTGGTTCCTACGGACCCCAACCAACATTTCCTGACCTACTGTTAACCCTTTGTTGGAAGAAATTTTCACAAATTTCAAGAAACTATTTATCTAAGTAAACATTACTGCTTTTATGAACTCCACTACTTTTATCACTCTCCCATTTTGCCCCTGATTGTTGAACAAGCTGATGCGTCACCAACGCATCTCTAACCCTTCTTTATTATCAAAGATAAATTGGGATCCAGTTCATGCTTTACCGTCAAAAATCTAAAACTGATAGTATGAGCATGTTTAAATCTCTAGCGAGAAATTTGATGGTTTTACTCTGTAGCAACTATTATCAGGACATTCTGATAGAAACCGAGAAAATTATGGTGATGCGAAATAAGGCAGCTGGCTTGTGGATCTTTCTAACGAATTATTCTCTCAAGTATACTACACAAAATTGCCAAAAAAAGGAAATAAAAAATTTCATGAAAAAAAGGACAGTTAATTAACACACCCTAAGAACTTATAATGCTTACATTAGGCACACTACACACAAGTAAAGTCAGATAAAGTTTACAGTTCTCTGTCGTTATCTAACCTTAAAGTAATACTTTATCTTGATTTCATCGCAGAATATCCGAATGCAAACGAATTCCAATGAATGAAACTTCTCAGCTTCGCTGTAAATACGTATTATGTTCTACTCCAGAGTTGATGTCGAGAAATTAGACCCGTCATAAAGCTCCTTTACAAGACTAACTTCTGACGCAGCTCTGTTTGGTTTAAGTTAGTTGGTGCCAATCTTGAGTGGGTGGGGTCGAAAGCCCCACACAGAACCCTTTTCCATAAGGACTAAAGGAGCTGTTTTGTCCAACCCTTCACCGCGGACCACTCCGGCATGGTTACACCTAAGAGGAACACATGGCTCCAGCCGGCACAGCTCTACGGATCACCAGGGCACACAAGCTTCCTCACCTCGTCAAGGTACAGCACCAAGAGGAAGATGACAATGTAACTCTTATATTCCGAGACTAATAAAACTGAAGATATCATTAAATGTTTCACGTATACTTGAGTAAGAAAAGAATTTAATTTATTGGAATTCGGTTGAATCACTTTAAAACAATACTGCACAGTTAGTGAAAAATTTGAATTCGAACGAGCATGGTATTATTCCTGACATACTGCGGCTCACGGATCGACTCAATTGGTGCAAACTCGACATATCCATACCCCTTGTAGTTGCGCGGTGCTGTGGGTCTTTGGAAAGCCAACAGGTTAGGCTTGGCCACCAGGGTCTCACTGATGTGGTGACGGTATTCAGCACCATCAGACTGATCCAAAATGGACAGGGCAATTCTTCCCGTAAAAGGCCATTCCAGAATGCTGTCATAATCTCCCTGCATCATATGAACAAACAGTGCCACGTGTTTTCCAACACCGCTATCTACACCGTTTAAGTTGATCCTCATACACAATTTATAGCCGTAAAGACTGGTGTGGAAGGACGGGCTGTGGATTGCTGTCATCACCCCACTAAGAGCATCTTGGCGGCACTGTCGGTAGTTATCGATCTTCCAAATATATGATCCGTTACACAAACGCCCCTCAACTTCTGACAATTTTGTTTCATATCGGTTGAATCTGATGAAATAACAAGAATTCTATATTAGGCACTAGTATGCCAAAATCTCAAAAGAGTCATATTTTGGGGATAATGGGTGTGTGGGGTTGTGGGGACCTTGCAACACTAAGTAGGCTTTGCCTTGACACGAGCGACAAGAATTTTCCCTTTCTTGAGAAAATCTCCAATTGAGGTCTGCCGTATTTACCTTAGGTTAGCCCTATATTAAAAATCTTAATAACAGCGATCGTCTAGTTACTTAGTGAATGTGGCAAGTCCCGAGTTTGATATTTTCCCGTAACAACCTCACACTTGGTTATCGAGTGGTTACCAACACTTACTGTGCTCTAGCTCTTAGCCAACCAGAGCACGCGATATCAAACATACTTAACCATATTATAATTTCCCGCGATGGCTCACTTAGATAATGGTGGGAAACGTAGACAGCTTCTAAATTAGTAAAAACGTAACCCTCGAGGAGTGAACGTGTAAGTCATATGACCACGTTTCAACATGATTTCTATCACTGAATAGAAATGGTAGAAGTTTAGGATTTACTGGCTGACATTCTAAGCCACTCGAGAAATTTCTCTAAGGAGACTAGAAGGTTCAGCTCAGGGGCGGCTAGAACGACCTCATACCCTTTCGAGATTCAAGTGAGAAGTCACCATTCGAAATTCTTTGAAAAAGGGCTTTTTAAAGATTTTTCATACAGTCGAATTGCTAGATGCCCACACACCAAAGTAAACGGGTATAAAATCACGAAGTTAACAACTGCATCGCTAAGTGGAGGTTGGATGCCTGAAACATCCAGGAGCTTCCACTACTGGCAGCCAGCTCCTAGATGGAGACTTCTCCAATGGCTGGCAAATCCTCGCAACCCAGCCATGAGCCCCCACTCAGGTAAGGGAAACAGGCACCCGTCAGTGGAAAGCAGTGGAAAGAGGGAGGGAAGGGGTGGGAAAAACTACCTGAATGATGAGCTGGCATTCCACACAACGCCGCAAGTTCACGCTCAAAGCACACACACGAACGCCTCAAACGAAGAGCACACAGAATTCAGACACATACGCATATGCAAAAACCGCTGACTACTAAAGAACGCTAATGCTCTTTGTTGTTAACTCCCTTAAATTGCATTTAACTCCAATCAAAAAGATAAGCTGTCAAGAATCCTCGACAGATTAAGTTTTCGCTGTTGTCCGATTGTAACATTAGTATCTCGCACACTAAAAGTTTTCGCTGTTTTCCGATTGTTACCTTAGTATCTCGCGCACTGAGTCTTCACTGTTGTCTGATTGTTACCTTAGTATCTCGCGCACTTAAAGTTTTCGCTGTTGTCCGATTGTTACATTAGTATCTCGCGCACTTAAAGTTTTCGCTGCTGTCCAGTTTAGTATCTCACGCACGTAAAGTTTTCGCTGCAGTCCAGTTGTTACATTAGTATCTCGTGCACTTAAAGTTTTCGCTGTTGTCCGTTTAACATTAGTATCTCGCGCACTTAAAGTTTTCTCTGTTGTCCGATTGTTACATTGCCATGTCGCGCACTTAAAGTCTTCACTGTTGTCTGATTGTTACCTCAGTATCTCACGCACTCAAAGCTTTCTCTGATGTCCGATTGTTACATTAGTATCTCGCGCACTTTAAGTTTTCGTTGTTGTCCGATTGTTACCTTAGTATCTCGCGCACTCAAAGTTTTCTCTATTGTCCAATTGTTACATAAGCACCTCGCGCACTTAAAGTTTTCGCTGTTGTCCAATTGTTACATAAGCATCTCGCGCACTTAAAGTTTTCTCTATTGTCTGATTGTTACATTAGTATCTCGCGCACTCAAAGTTTTCTCTGTTGTCCGATTGTTACATAAGCATCTCGCGCACTTAAAGTTTTCGCTGTTTTCCGATTGTTACATTTTCTCCTTGGTATCTCGCGCACTTTAAGTTCTCGTTGTTGTCCGATTGTTACCTTAGTATCTCGCGCACTTTAAGTTTTCTCTATTGTCGGATTGTTACATTAGTATCTCGCGCACTCAAAGTTTCTGCTGTTGTCCAATTGTTACATAAGCACCTCGCGCACTTAAAGTTTTCGCTGTTGTCCGATTGCTACATTAGTATCGCGTGCACTTAAAGATTTCTCTGCTGTCCAATTGTTACCTTAGTATCTAGCGCACTTAAAGTTTTCACTGTTGT